AACTCTGTTTTTCTATTCTATTCTACTCTATTCTATTCTATTCTACACAAGACAAGCCTACAAAATGATGTAGAACAAACTGTATAAAAATGCATTTGCTTATCGCACCAGTTGATCAGCTACCCAGAATTACCCATGTGCTTGGTGGTTCTGCTTCATCATTAAAACCATTTTTCCAATCAGCCTCCATATTTCCAGTGTCTTTCTCCCCACTTGGAACTGAACCCAGATGGAAATTTCTTCTGACGTTAGATCCCCATTTAAAATGGAGGAAGGTTGCTAGTTTAAAATCTAGACAATAGAGATCGAGAAAGTAATTCTTAAGTAGGTAACTTTAAAAATCAGAAGAGGAAACTTATGTCCAGGATTTTACCACTTTTTGGTTATCCAGGCTGGGTTTCACTTTCTCCCGGGTTCCAAATGGCCTAAAAAAATCTGCAGGATTTCTGGGAGCATGGATAAAATCCTCCCAACTTAGTTGGTCAGAAAAAGGGAAAGAGAAGAAATCTTTGGACTTCTTGAAAACATTTGTTTTACAGCAACGATTGGATACCGTGTTCTGTCATTGGGCAGCACAGTTGCCCATTGAAAATCTTGCTCCAATTCAGTATTTAGTAAATTTGTTCTGTATTTTCCAAAATATCTTTTCCCTGATTGCGATGATAGGCTACTAACACTTGGGAATGCAAATATCTGATAAGTTTGGTTTCCATATCAAAATCGAGTGTCAAAACTTTTAAAGTCAAGGGGTTGGCTTTCATTCATTCTTAAAAATCCATACTTAAAAGAAAAAATACATGAAAAGGTTCTGCTTGTCAGCAGATGAGAAATTGTATTTGCAACAGCATACAATTTTGGATGCACTGATCAAAGTGTTCCAAATAATGGCGTAAGATCTGCTAAAATGAAAACATTTAACTAACAGTTAATTTTGTAAGTGCAATGGTGTAAGCGTATAGATTTAATATACTGAAGGATGAAAAGTCATTTTCATGCTAAATCTTTGTGAATAATGCACTTGGCTTCTTGTTTTTTAATACTTTTTTACTGGATTTGTCTCATATCTATCTGATGCTCTTTTTAAACTGAAAACACAAGATCTGAGCTTTTCATTTTAAACTCTGAATTCAATATCAATTTATACACATAAACTGTTCATTCAGACTATAAATTTAGTGTAAATATAGTATCTCCAATTTCTTTTCACCTACCTTCATCCCTATGGATGTCAATTTGAATGCACTCAGAAAAGTAACAATTTATATCAGCGGGGTTTACATTTGTTATGATTCAAGGGCTGTGTGAGCTTACTGCAAAGTCTCATAGGCCAGATCAACTGACCTCTGATGGACTGGTTCCAGTTTGTGAATTGGAGTCCATCCTGGATTTATAAAGAGAGACTTAATACATTTTCCTTAAGGTGGTGGTGTTGAACCCTCTCAAGATGCCATTACTCAACTCAAGTCTGGACAATTTTCATCCAGTCTTCAACCACACATTTTTAGAGAAGATTGTGGACAAAGTGATTGCATGGCAGCTTCAGAAATCCTTAGATCGGGGGTGTCAAACTCATTGAGTGCCACATTAGGGTTGTGTTTGACCTCGGGGGACCAGGGTGGGCATGGCCAGCTTGACATCACTCATGTTGGGGGTGCCTGTGATGATCCAAGCGCTCTGCCAGCAAAAACGGGCTTCTAAGCTCCGTTTTCAGTTGCGACGGCCTCCTGCAACCCTCTGACAGTTTAAAACAGAGTTCAGGAGGGCTACCCACAGCCCTCATGAGCTCTGTTTTCACTTACAGAAGCACTACAGGGCAGTCCTTCGCTGTTTCCAAGGCAGCCTTGTCAGCTGGGTCTAAGGCCTTGAGTTTGACACCCCTGCCTTAGAGTAAGACAATTATTCTGGATCCCTTTTAGTCAGAATTCAGGCTGGATTACAGAACTGAGTGGGCATTGGTTGCTCTCTTGAATAACTTCCTGCAGGATGGGATGGAGGTAGTATATCTACCCTTGTTCTTCTTGACCTCTCAGAGGCATTTGATACCATCAAGACTGAACGCTTTCGATATTTGGATCTTCTGGTGACAAGGTTTTTCCACCCATAGTACTGGAAAATTTGGCTGTCCCAGATGCAACAGTGCACCGTGCAAAATTCTCTTGGATTCATGATTTCTGCTTAGAAGAGCACTTAGCAGTTGTAAGGCTTTTACATACCTCTGGGCTGTGCACCAGCTTCTCTCCCCCTCCCTGTTCAGAGTCATTCAGACCCTTGTGACCTTCGATCTGAAATACTGCAACATGCTCTACATGGGGCTGCCATTGAAGAGCATTTGAAAGTACAGAATACGCCTGCATGGATAGCAGATGAGGTAGGATATTCAACATTTCTAATACCACCGCTTTGTAAGTGGCATTGGTTGCCAGGTGAAATTCAAGGCATTGTTTCCAAATGCAAATCAAGGTTCTGGTTGTTACCTTTATCTTCATGACTTGGAACCACATTACCTAATAGATCATCTCTTTCCAGTTGTTTCTGTCCATCCAATTTAGTCCAGCAGGTTGGGCATATTTCAGGGCCTGTTAACCAAGGAATATAGGAGACTTGCATTCTCTTCTGTAGCCCTTTTCCTCGGGAACATTTTCCCAGTAAAGATTAGGATGGCCCCAACCCTGTGGTCCTTGACAAGGCATCTATAGATTGAGTTATGTCCCCAGGTCTCTAAGTATGTTAATGGCCCTGTTTCCTGTTTTCCTCAGTAGATTATATGTATGTATGCATCAGCAGTGGGATTCACTTACCTTACCTTCGCTCACACTCACTGCATCTATGCATGCGCACTGCATCAGCACATGCGCACTGCATTGTACGCATGCACAGAATGTGGTGCATTACATTGGGGTGGGAGGGCGGAGCCTCCTGCAGCCGCCGCTACTGATTCGCTTGAACTGGAGAGAACCGGCTGAACACCACTTCTTGTGTGTGTGTGCATGTGTGTGTGTGTGTCTGTGTGTCTGTGTCTTTATGTGTGTCTGTGTATTGCTTGTACTTTTATGATCGTTCGCTGGCCAGAGTCTTCAATCTGTCAAATTGAATAAAGAAATCAATAGCCA